AACACAGGGTTCAGCTGCTTATTGCGAGGAGCAATTGTCAAGGGAGAGTTAAACTCAATTACTGTAACCATACTGAATAAAAAATACTGCCAAGGACAAAAATACGCCTGGGTAAAGACAGCACTGAATAAAAAAAAAAATCGACATAAAGCGTATCAAATATTTATTCACCTGGTCAACAAAAGACTATAATACATTGGTATGCTTGGTAAGTCTCATCTCATATAACTCAGCACAATACAGTCACTTGTGCTCCCACCAAAGACAGTAAGGGGCTGATTTACTAAGGATTTACTGATTCAGAATCGTCAGAACAGCACACCTCCAAATTAATAAACCTTATGTAAATCGGCCACTGAAATACCTGTGGTTCCTGAACATGTGCATTCTTTGTATTTAAAAAAAAAAAAAAACCCAATTGGGCGATTCACTAAAGGTTTCCCAGACCACTGAACCTGTGTCGGAATACTCAAAGTGATGAGATAAAAAATGAAAGATAAAAAATAATTTTGGACTAACGGATTGCTAATCTGGTAAATTATAGTTAATCGCGCCATATGTACTATTGTTTATAAACGATTGAGTTGAAGAACTTTCCTTTAAGCTAACAACACATTAGTAATTTCGTACCCATTCTCGTTAGCCAGTGTCCGAAATGGATTTTTTTTTCTTCCAGAAAATGAAAGACTTTTTGTAATACTAAACATATATAAAAATCCGTTTTATTATTTTTTTTTCATTATTTGTTCTGCTGCTTCATTGTTGTCTTAACATGCTACAACAGGGCTAGAAAATGAGGAATCCCCTACAAACCCAACGTCCTGTCTTTTAAACAAGTACCAATATCCACATGAACTAAAGGGAAATTGAAAAAATAAAACCCACTAAACAATAGGTAAACGAGATCACCAGATAAATAAAAAAAAGGCTTTTTTCTTTTAACAGACGCACCATATTTACAATCCCCATTAAATTACACATAAATAAATATATACATAAACACTGATTCCCTTATATTAGTGAATGTGATTTCTGTCCAGAAAATACTGATAAATGTCATCCTCAGCCGTCTTAACTTGGCTACAACCTGAACTGTAGAGAATGTGGTGACTTTAGTCCGATGACTCTCATAGATAGATAGATATATAGCAAGAACTGGTTGCTTTAAAATTAAAAAAAAAAAAGTATTCTTAGAAAAAGTCCGAACACTTAACGACACAACTTTCTTTCCTGGCTTCATCAGCCTGTCCTGGTCATAATCCAAAAATGGATTCGGCGACAAAGAAGGATGGACAAGGAAGCAGTGCAGCCTTGTATCTCCGGAGGAAGGATGGCACCGAATTGTCTGTGCCCCAGTGGGCATTTGGCCAACACTAGAGGGTGGTGCTGAGCAGGTAGGGAAGACTGGCAGAGTGGGGTCACTTCCTGTGCTTTTCATCTTTGTCCCCTCCTTTGCTGCTGTCTGTGTGGCTGTTGGGATTATTGTTGTTGAGGTACATTTTGTCCATTGCTTTTAGTGCCTCGGTGAGATAATTCTGCAGGGCTGTGATGGCCGCACACACAGCTGGGCTGCCAAATCCATGAGAGATGAGGTTGAAGTGTGTCAGACAGCTTTGGATTCCCGGTTCTAGTATTGGACTTGGCCTAGAGTTACCCAAGGGGGATCTGTCTTGTGACAATAAATCTGTGAATTCTTTACAAATCTGCCTGCAAACAAACGAGAGAGAAAAAAAACAACTGAGATCGGTTGGCATTTTCCTAAAACGTTGCTACAAGTCACACTATCATAGCCAAATAATCAAAAAGCATTATAAAAAGGGCAATTACCCAAAGCGACCAATCAGAAGGCTTCTTTCACTAGTCTAAAAGCACTGAACAGATACATGCTGACATCTGATTGGTTAAAACAGGTAACTTGCCATCATCACTTCTTAAATAAAACCTGCATGTTATTTCTTAAATGCCAATAGCTTTTGTATAGATCATTTTCTCTGATGAAGGTGTCAAAAGGAGAAATGCATGTTACCCCTGAAATCACTTTTCCCTTTTCTACTATCAGTGCAGGTTTGGGGATAAAAAAGAGAATTTAATTGGTTGCTTTGGTTAACACAGAAAGTTTTTCTTTCAGAGGCAGATTCATACAGTACTGATCAATCTGTGAAAGAGGAGAATGGCCTCGTGCATGGCAATTTGCATTACAGTCTACACATCAGATCCCCTCCAGTTGTATAAACTCTACAAGTACCATAAAGAGGACCGCGTTCCCTTCATATTCTGCTTGCAAAGCCTCTGGGAGAATAACTAACCTTTTGACATGTATAAGGACTTTCGGGACTTAAGCTAATAGTTCTTGTGGCAAAAATAGTGAGAACGAAATGCAGAGCATATGTAAAAAGTATTCTGCTGGTTGCTTCCATCCCTGGCTGGGGAGAAGTCGCTGGCTAGGAAATAGCTTGTTAATATAAAGCAGATGTTTCAGAACCTGTGGCACTTCATCTGCTCTGCAACTACAAATCCCAGCCATGCCCTGTCAATTAAGGCAGCTAGAGAACCACAGATCAGCAATACTCATATACAGAAGGCTGGGATAAGATTGAAGCAACAGCATCTTGCACATAGCTATCGATCAGATCTAATGCTGGCCACACACAGTACAAACTGATTGTACAAGTTATTTGTTTTCCAATGAATATGACGCTCGGGTCCCTACCAATTAGATATAAATTGACCGGATTGTTACGGAAGGGGCTCACACTACATCTGAAGGAGATTCTACAATCAGATTGTAGGATGTGTGGCCAACTTCAGTAGTCATTCTCTACTTTGGCCTATCAATTGTTAGTCAAAAACCTCCATTTGTTGTGAAGGTTCTCATTCATCCAAGTCATGGTATATCTGTAAAGAATAAATCTAGGCAACTGGACTTGCTCTATTTTTTTCTTGAAGATGTTTGGCTGGTCGACCAGCTTTCTCAATTCAGAACATTTTCTTTGCTCCACTTTTCATAAACAAACCACAAAGTATAACAGTGTCCCTAAAAGTCCAATTTTAACAAGTTCTTATGACAAAACAACTGTTTATGACAACACTAGCACCAGTTTATCAGATCACAATGCACATATCATGCAGCCAAGCAAAGTACAAGCCACTTAACCACCACCCCCCTTTAAAATGAACTCTAGCAATGAGTATATATTAAAGTTATCCATGTAAAACATGGTAATTTGCAGCTGGGATTCCAATATCTAGATATACTTTGATAAAGCATCACATTTCCGGTTAATTAGATAAGTATTTCGACGAGGTTCTTAATCCTTTTCATGTTGGAAGCAATTTGCTGCTTGCAAATGATTAACTCGGGATCCTGAAAATGTAGATTGTTTTCAGTTTAGGACACTCCAGATGCTGCTAATGCTTGCAGGCAAAAGACCTTGCTGAGTATTCTGGGCAACAGATGACATCCTGGGGCTTTACATTTCAGTTGTTTCCGAACTACAAGTCCAAGCAGCTCTGGTCCCTTAGGACACACATACAAGGGTTTATCTAATAATTCAGGTAACAATGCAGTGACTAGATGCTAACTACACTAATCCATAACAACCAATCAGGCTTCTGATAACTGTGATCAGGTCAATCCAGAGATACATTCTGAACTGGTTGCTATAGGTTACTGCATTTAACACAAAGTCATTGCACTGTAGGTAACAGCATTACATATTCCCAGCTCTATAGCTTTCATGGTCCTATAGCAGCCCAGCACATGCCAAACATCAGTTGGAGAATCGAATCAGACCTACTTTGTGGCTAGTAGCATGTTTTTCCTGGTCACTTGCTCATTTGGGTCAGAGTGTTGCCGGTTGACATACTCAGCTATAGCTTTGGCAGGAAATTCAGTTTCACAGACATACCCAAAATCTCGGGCTAGATGAACAGCTTCACCTTCAGAGAAAAGAGAAATATATATTTAATTCAGGGAAGGTGACAACTGAAAGCATTCTTGTGTATAGGTAATGAGACAACAAAATGGAACATATGCAAATAAATAGGTGAGTAGAAAAGATATTCATGCATAATACAGTTTCCTAACGATAATGCTGATAACATAGACACAAGGTTCAATTCACTAAACTAACACACCTAGATAAGGATATTTATTCTAAAAAGTGACAGTTATGTTCAGATGAGTGCACTGAGATTTGAACATTTGAGTCACGTGGCTAAAATAACAATCTTTATCCTTATACTAAAGCTGAACTGAGCAAGCTAATCATTCTATCGAGATAACTCGTTTTAGCTATCATCACTCTTACCTAATAATTTCATCTATGTAACTAATACTATCTATAATCTCATCAATACTGGTAACTTTATTATGCTATTTTTAGCCTATTATATCATCTATATAGTTAATCGAGTAATATCTCCAGGACAGGTAATCTAAACTTGTTAAAAATATTTACATGTTACAGTTAATTTGATGTTATCATGTAGTGGATGACCCCCCCTTGAAGACATAAGGAAGACTTTGCCATGTGGTCTACACTATGATGACCGACTCTGCTGTAATGTTTTAATGAAACAAATGTGTACATTAAAGTCTCTCTTCCACAAGCAGCCTTGCACAAGGAAGTAATGGGCAGGCTTCTCAGCGCTGACATTCTTTAACTCCACCGTTTACAATGAATGATCTTTTTTTATATATCCTGAACGATTAGCTAGGAGAGATTTGGGGTCAGTGCACGCAGTCTGTCTGTTTTGTTGATTCTCAAATCTTTTGGTTTTAATTTCCTGAAGCAGTTGGATTTTACTGCAGGGTTTCCTGCCATTAGCTGCACTCCGGAAGAACGCATGCGCCAATTAGCGCTTCAAAGCGCACAGCGGCCAAGCTTGTTTCCAGGAAGATGGAGCAGATCATCAGACACTGGCTCCTCACTTCAGGACACCAGACACACCGCACACATCACACACACACACCCCATATAAGCAGGACAGGGTACCTGGAAACACACTGGAACTATGTACTATACCATTGTGCCATAAACAGTAGCATTATTCTAAGTGAGAGAATGAAGGTAAGATGATGGGAGAGAATAGAGGAGAAATCTGGTACACACACCTTATAGGAGAATAACAGTACAGGGCACCAGGGCACAGTGGGGTTACTGTAATCAGGTGTAGGGTATGAAGTAGGATATGGTCATGTGTACTCTCTCTCGTTATCAGGGTCAAGTATATAAATAAGCCCTAGGTTTCTCATGTCCCTCTTAGTCTGTGATACATCTCTCTCCTACCACAGCAGTATAGGTACCTGGAAATACACTCTACATTGCACCATAACATAGTGTCATAAGCATTGGGGTTTTGGTAAGTGTGAAAAATAAAATATTGTAATGGGATAAATGTAGAAATAGAAAACTGGTATGTACTCATTGCAGAACAAGCAGGACAGGGCACCTGGAATTACACTTATTAAAGGTAACACCATTGTACCATAAACATTAGGCCTATTGTAAAAGGGATAATAGGGATATGGTGATAGAAAAGAATAGCGAAAGTAAACACACACATAGACACTATATAGGCAGGGCCATTTGTAACGCAGCATTGAATTGCAAAAAAAAAAAAAAAAAAGTGCAAAAAACAGTAGGATCATCATAGGTATGACAATTAGGATACTGTGATGGGAAAGAATAGTATAGAAAACGAGTACACACTATGAATATGACCTTAACAGTACAGAGCACATGGAAACAAACTATACAATGCAGCATACAATTGTGCCAGCAGAATTAGAATATAGAGATGGATAGGAGAGATTAGCAGATAAAGCAGGTATACACAGTATGATAATACACTTAGCATGGGCTTAGAACCCAATTGATGCAATGTTGCTGTGCAGTTTATATGTAAATGATATATAACTATACCTTATAGCCCTATATTCTGTGACCTGACTTTCAAAGTGTTCATTGTTGAAAGCTGGTCCAAGAAGCTGCATTTACTTTTATTATTATGGGCAAGGTAAAAAAAAAAAAATATTTAATCTAGTGAGCTTGATTGGGGATTTACTAAGTGGTTATTCACTTTGCTAACTGAACAAGGCTGATTTACTAAAGGAAGTTGAAAACCTTCACTCAAAAAATGGTGTGACTATTTGCTTCAATTATCCAATCATGTGAAAAGCAAACTCCTGTTGACTTTAAATACCCTATCATGTGTGGATGCTCTTCACATGACTGGATATTTCAAGTCAATATTCTCACAGGTTTTAAATGAGCTCACATGTCTACAGTTTAAGCAAATTAACCGTATTGGTTGAAAATATAACTGGTTACTATACTTGCTTTGTTTAAAGTTATTAATGTCTGATAAGTTCCCTGAAACCTTTTAATATGATGTTTTTAAAACTTTTTTTTTTTTTTTTAACAAAACCCAACTTTCATTGTATGTTTTGTGACCCTCTAATTGGTGGGATAACTGTTTATAAAGCTGGCACAAATCAACGACAGATGGACACAATAAATGCTAATGCATAATTTTCTTCTAGACTTTAGAAGCCCTTTCTTTTCACACCGACCAGTGTACATTGGAGACAGAGCTGGTGCATTTGGCTATAATGTATACAAGTGTCCTTTAGACTGGAAGGTAAATGCATAAATGAGAAGCAGCAGTGAGAGGCTGTCAGATCTGTGCAGGATAATGTTCCCCTCTGGCATAGGTCAAGCATCCCCAAATTAATTCAGGAAGTGCTGGTCAGGCACTCCTCCAATGGCAGACCAGACCAGGCCGAAATTATTTAGTGCATTGTTTAGAGTGGAAACAACTTCAGGCTTAGGTATTTAACTATTATCACATTGCAATGGCTTTCAGAGAAATCTGCTGATGACATTAAAGAAAAGCAATCAACAGCCATTAGAAGAAGTTTGCTACTGCTAAATAAACAGAAAGGATCTTAAAGGGAAACTATAATTGTCCAGAGTCATAGGTTATCAATTGGTTTCAGTTTATTAATCTGTCAACTTTTATATCTTTCCAAACATTTGAGAAAGAAAATATTTATTTTACAAGTAAACGTTTAAAAGTGTCCCCCATGAACACAATGTTTTTGCAAAGCTTTATGTCCTTTGTAAAGAGAAAGAGAAAGCAGGGTATACGTTGTTTCCTTTAAGTATGATGTCTCTAATTGAACTCTTTGAGGATCTGTACAGAGCAATAGGGCATGTGTGGGTTGGGGGGTGAGTGAGGAAGAGGGAGGTGAGTGAGTAAGTGAGTTACCCCTTATATCTCATTCAGCTGTGTGTGTAATTTAAGTTCCAGCTAAGATAATCATTTACTTAACTAGAAAAAAAAATAGAATTGTATTTTTAATCCTAAAGAAGATACAGTATAAACACACAAACTTTACATTCCATTTAATCAAGATATTTCAATACTACTGAGTCACCAGTATCCACAGAGTATTATGGAGGAGGTTGTTTAATTCAGCTAAAGTGGCCAAGATGAAACAACAGACCTCAAAGCTGATGATTTTCCACTGCAGATTACTCAACAATGGATTAAGTTTGGAAAACAATGGTGACTTCTGCAGTGCCTCAGCCTGCTCAAACACTGTATTATCACTTGTCCTGACAGATTTACTTACCCTCCACTAAAGATGTGAGCAAAGTGACATTAGCAGCTTTACGTCTTCCAGCTGGAAGGTTTAATCCTATTTTATCTAACTTTTCTCTCAACGACCTGCCACCATTTTTGGATTTCGCCCTGTACAGAGAGAAGCAAAATAACAATTAGAGGAATAAAACACAACTATCAGGGCATCCAGCCACTAATTCTCTGTGGGATGGTTTATTTATGCTGATTAGTGCAATGCAAAGTCTGAGCAATCACAAGTACACACTAATTCAATGTATGTTCCCTCCAATTACAATACCAATGTGACATGTTGAGGCTAGAAAATAATGGAGCAAAATGGAACTGTTTATCATAACAGACAATCATAACCTATGGGCAACAGGTCCACTTTTGTCTCATTTTCAGCCTCAGTGTGTGGGTATACATTCATCCTTACTAGTTTATAGGAACACCTTATCAAAATATGAATAAAACACATATATACAATTAGCATTTTAATTATGTAATAGTTTGTTGCTATGCCAACTAAATCTAATTAATAAAGATATATACACTTTTCAGTGTCCCAAATCCCCTCTCTTTAATGCCTTACTATGCACATCTGATGTGGACATCCTATACCCCAGCCTTAAATCTCTCTAGCACTAATGTGAGCACAAGGATGTCATGTGGCTCCTCCACCAGTCCTTCAACACAGAAAACTTTCAGATAGGTCACAAAATGCTAGGACAAAATCTAATTGGTGTGCTGGGAACAGGAATGTGTTGACATGGCTGCAGACCAAGATCATCATTGCTCAAAAAAAGTGACCTATCCTGACCCAGAGAAACGAAGCCTCCTCTCACATTCTCATTCATGTAATTTACAGAAACATATGAATGGCTTCATAGTTATTGGGTGTAGACACAGAAAATGACATTAGGCTCAGTGTCTAGGACATCTCTAAAGGGCATCAGAGGAATCAAATTACTTTATATTGAGAGGGAAATAAACCAAAGACGTATACATTGACAGAAGATGTAAAAAGAACAAAAAGACATAGGAAATCAGGAAGTATAAAAATCCTTTAAGACCCAAGAAGCAAAATTCAGATACAAATACACTATAAGGAAACATTCGCCTGTTGGTAGCATTAATAGGGCCAGGTATCATTCATTTTGACTTGCAGCTAATCACGAATCTAATTACATGCAAAATGAGTTCTGTCCATATCAGAATGAAGTCATTTAAGAACGCATTAAGTGGCATAACTGTGAAAGGGATACTTTAATTACAAGTGATGAAATGATTGCCTATATTCTACAATGCAGAAATGGAACACAAAGTTACTAATAACACACGATCAAGCATAAATGTAACTGAAGCCACAGCAAGGCACTGGAAGCACCTACCGGCAATTTACTAACACCTGATCAGGAATACAATTATCAACTTGAAGATAGCAATAAATAGGGATAGCCACTACATCCAAACAGCCTTCCAATATATATGTTTCTGTATTTCCGGTCATTAATAATATATATTTTCATAAAATGACATGATTGAGTTAATCAGTCAATGGACGATTATTTAAATTAGCCAGTTGTCAATATGTAATTATCCATATATTCCCATTAAATTAAAATCAACTGTTTTCTGTAGTACATCCAATAAATCTTGTAATAGACTTACAAATGGATAACCAAGGGAAGTGAGCTTTATACCAGCACTGAAACATGTTTTTTTTAACAATATCAATGGAAAACGTCTATTTTAAACTGAATTTGACACATTTACAGGGCTGGCATAACACTCTCTAGCTAAGTAAATAACTCACATTAGTCTGTTATAACTGGTATAGCCATTCTGTAATGCATACAGAGTTTATGTTAGATATTTAAAACTACATATAGTTGTCCAGTCTGTCAAATCAAATGGTAGTTAAATGACCCAGTTTTCAAATTGCATTTCTGAATCTCTTGGAATGATAGCTTTGCTCTTGTTTGTGAACTCGGGTTCAAGTGTCATATTCCTTCCCAACATCTTTACCACCCCAAGACACGAAATTAAAGATTAATGGAGACAAATATTTTCCTAACCTGCTCTATTAATTGCTTTCCTCTCTATAAGGCAATCAGCATATTTGTAGGCTGTATCTCCTCCCACATCTTCCCTCTCTGTCCTTACATGCACATCCAGCTGCCGCCTGACACAGAATGAACCTGCCTTCATGTACAATTCCTCATAGTAAACACGCTGACCAAGTCAGAGCCTGGGCTCACTTACTCCATTATATAGCATTGGACTGCAGGCTATCAGCACGCTGGCTGGAGCCCCTGACTAACCCTTACAGAGGGTTTATTTTATTTATTGGGAAATGGGTCTCACATCATTAAACCATCAGTTTTAGAGATTATATACTAGATTGCTGTAACCTTTCCAGAAATGTTAAGTAGGAATACAAAAATGAAAAATGCCTGACTTACATCAGAATTTGGTTACATTGCAAATCATTAGCAAATATTCATACAGGGGGGTTACTTATTCACACGATCATACAAAGGGGCCTCTCTGTCTTTTTGATCCCCAAATTAAAAGGATATTAATATTCTTTATCAGAATATTAATTGTTTTTATAGCACTCAGATACCGGTTGCCAAACGATTTGCATATACTATTTTTTAATACATTTGCCAAATGCTTTTACTAGCTGTAATCACCACTGGGAAGCCATACAGTTCTGCAATAAACCCCTACCCCCTACACGCATTTTTGGGGCCCCAAAGTAACCACCTGGTCTGCTATAGCGATAATTACACCCTACAGAGCTCCTTTTCAATGCACCCCATTTCTCATCCAAGACACATGCGCAGAGCATTTTAGATCCAACACCTAGTATCACTGAGCATCTTACCTCCTAAGCACTCCTCCCAATAGAGAAGCATTGAGGCACTCGGGCGGGGATAACCGTCTCTGTACTTCTGCCACTGTCACCTTGTACTTTGAAGTTGAGCTTAGAAGAGACAGGCGTCCGGGAACGGAGCAGAAAACTTCATTCGGGTTCACTACTCCACCGAAGAGATTGTCTTTGTTGAGAGAGAGGGACGATACTGCATTGTTATTGGATTTAGACAATGAGACAGGCCCTGAAAAAAGAAGGATGACAATGATGCCAGGAAACTAGAAGGCCTGTTTAGAAGCACACACCTGTGTTATGGGGGCAGGATGGCTTTTTTTTGTTTTCTAGTCTCTTTTATTTAAACCTGTCATTTCATAGCACCCAGACACAGATGAGTCACTTGTGACTCAATGTGTATCTCTTAACTGCCTATATAGACTCTGGCCATCGTTGCTTCTGATATAAGCTGTTCTATTAATCTATATGAATTCTGTTCTAGATTTATTTTTACAGTTGCATGCATGTGCATAGGGTATAAAAAAATCAGGTGTATAAAATCAGCTCACCTTACACACATGCTGATGTTATTAATAATAAATCACATTAATCTTAAGGGCAATACTATACTCTACACCCTGCACCATAGGTTCTCTATTGATAAGAATGCAGCCCTCCAGCAGCTAGCAGGGTTAACATGGTCAGTACATAGACAAGAAAGCAGAAAGGTCCTTAAGCGCCACAGTGAGGCAGAAAGTGGCAGTTGGACTGCACAATGTCTAGTTGAGGGAAAAGGCTGTCTGATGTAATTACCGATTAAAGTTAGATCGTTCAGTAGTATAATACAACCCCCCCATACAACTTTACCCGATGCACAAGCTTCTATCTCACAAGGCACCACTGAATCCAGGCTAGTATTTGAAACAAGACATTTGCAATGTTCCTCATTGCCAGTGCAGTCCAAGCAAAGTAAAAAGACCAACCATAAATACTGCATACATTTTTTTTCCCTGACCTCTTTAAAAAAAATCGTTCTCTAATTATCAAGCCAAGACAATATAGGGGAAATCATTTACAAGCCTCTTTAAAAAAATTTTTTTTTTGTACCAGAGCAAAAGCAGAAGTGTGAACAAACAAGCTAATAAACTAATGAAAAAAAATATAATAATAAAAATTGCCAACTTGGAACAATATTAAACACAACTGGGAGATATCTATATTATAGCATGATAAATATCCACTTTCCCTAATCCGTTTATGTATGCAATCTGGGTAATTGGGGTTGATTTACAAGGCGTAGTTTTTCCGCTGGCTAGGGGAAGTTAGATATTTGTTCCCAATCGGTTAACAGGGCGTTAACAAAATGAATTTTCTACTGAATATTTTTTTTTTTTTAAAAGTCAATCCTTCCTAATATTAGAGCCTAGTGTTAGCATTAAAAAAACATTATTTTTTAACACCTATTCTGTTCAATTTAGACTGAATTGGTAATGAATTACTCGGGTCTTTTAAGCTACTGTATTTTTATTTCGCCATACTGTAACAATATACAGTTATATCATCTTATCTAGCTAGCAAATTGGCTATAAACCTATACAGCCAAAGATTATAATCAGAACAAGCAAACCAAGCAGCGCTTGTAGGAAAATATTTATGTAATCCGACATATGCCATCTAGAGACATGACAGGCAGCGTTCACCGTCTTTATATTCAAATATTAGTGTGCCTTGTAATCATTTGGGTATGGATAGCCTGTGCATTTAATTTGCGGAGGATAGTCAGACGTATGGGGGCCCTGGATAGATCACTTGTGACATTAATAGCTCTGGGGAGGCTAATAGAGACAATAGGAGTTAAACGAACTCTTGAGATTACTACTAATAGAAGAGCCAATTATCATGTAGACTTGGAAAAGAACAGTCCTAAAAATCCATCTCTGCTAAAACCAACTTGAAGGAAATAAAAAGAGCAAGAAGCACAAACCTATTTACACCTATGTCTCCCTTAGAGTTCAGTGTGCCCTAGGTTTTTTTTAACGAATAACCCAATGCTTTTTTGTAATTGGGATTAAAATTGCAGACCATTTAAAGGAATTAATCTAATGACGAAAATATTTAAGCCTATGGAGCAACCTTTACCCCCTTTGACACAGTATTACAAATTAAAACCAGCAACTATAACTTTTGAATGTAAACAGAACGCCACAAATTTAATTTAGAACATTTACGAGCTTATTCAAGTGCAATGCGGATATGCAAGATGCAATATCCAAGAGCAACAATTTATTCTCTGTTTACCTTAAAAATTCAGGACAGAAAAAGGTGCCCATTGTTAGAGGGCTAAGAATGAATGAATGCCCATAGCACGTTGCTCTTTGCCTTATTATATAAGCGGGTTATCTCTCTGCTCATCACGTGATAGTATTAAACAAATGCCTATTTGCAAACACACTTGGAACTGCATGCTATCTAATGGGCGGATTTCAGCTTGCAAGTTTTACATAGTTCACAATGAAGCTTGGCAGTTAGGTTTTCACAACAGGAAAAAAAAAAAAAAGGGGGGAAGCTTGTGAAGACTTGTTAGGAATGCAGCAGCAAAAAAAAGAAAAGCCTACCTTTCTTAATTACAGTTTGATCTGCGATGTTGATACCTGGGTCTTCTACATGCTGAAACAGAAACACATAAATGTTTTAAAACACTGTCATAACAAAGGAAGAGGAAACTGTAAGTCTTCTGTCAGAAGGGGACATGCTGCCCAAGAAGTGCACAGTAGTGGGAGAATGTTATAGTTATATCTGCGCTGTGCCACCTAGGAACACAAGTGGTGTTATATATATATGGGGATTGTGTACTGACTTCTTGGAACATTGTGTCATTATAGCTCACTTATACTTAAACAGTTCTCATATTGTAAGGAGGACCGGAAATATGCTCTCAGCCGATGCAAGATTAAGAGATCAGCAGAAATTGATGTGGAACCATAAAATGTAACGCATTCCTAATTGTGTGATAAGGGGGTAAATCAGGCTCAGAGTAGGTCCCTTAAAGGGCCCCTTTTTCGATGCCACGATAAACCAATGGGCCGAAATGTACTGTATTTTTTAAAATGCTGTTGTAATTAAAGTAGCTACTTTTTTTTTGTTATATGCAAAGCATAAAATCTGCCATCTATTCATTAGAGTTAGATGACTCACAGAAAATAGCAAAGGCGTTGTACACAATCCCTGCCCTCACGTTGGTTCTGACCCACTTTGTTCTGAGATAGCGAAGGAATCGCTCCCGTTCCCAAGTCGTCGTCCCTAAAATCATACCGATCGTAACATTTTCCACTCGGTTCTGGATTTATGCTCGTGTTAATTGCGCCTGATCTCAATGATTCCGGGTGGATGGTACTAAGTTGGTTTATTACGGGTTTTATTATACTCAATGCTCTCATTTGTAACTTGCCTAAAGTGCTCCTGCATTTAAGCATAATTAAATTGAGAAATGTTCAGAAATGACTAGTCAAGTTCTCTCTTTTAAGTATATGGGGAAATACGATCCCTTTATGCTGGCTCGCTCAAGCCATAAACTAGACGTGCTGAGGGAAAATACTTTGATTTGGGCTCTTTCAAGACCAGCACCAGGATTTACATGGAATACCACATAGTGCTTGGGGACCATTAACTTATTTCCGACATCTTCTTCATTTCAGCTCATCGCTGGTTACAAAAAGATGACAGACCCAGCAAGGGGTAGGAAAGTGTGTTTCTGTCTGCTTTTCAGCAAACCATTTACTCCCAGTTATTTTCTGACAGCATTGTATATGCGGTTTATTAGCATTTATGGCCGTTTAAACGCTCAGTAGCAACACTGAACAAACAAGCAGAGTAAATAATAGCTAAAACATCAAGTTAATCCTAAATAACCACCCCCTATCTCTCTATTGCCCCCGGTGATGTGTGACTGTGCTTACATACCATTCCACATACACACACACAAAAGCCGGTTCCTCAATGCTAATCTATATGATCAAACCATTGACAGGTCATTAGAACAATAAAATAATGAATTAATAACTCGATTCTCTTAGATCTTGTGACTCATTAATGTATTACTCTAGGCGGGTATTTTCCCAGGTCGCAATAAATAAAACCACCTATACAATGCCATCTGGATGAGCTAACAGCAATATTACACTATTGCAAATGTTAATCTTTTTAGAATTCTTTTTTTTTCTTTCAACGTTGCATTTTAGCAGCAGCTGCTAAAATACTGCACAAGCTACCTTTAATCCAGTAAAAGAAACATTAATACAGGTACAATAAAAAAACAAACAAACATCTAAACGATCTTTTCAGTGTAGCAAATTCATTCTTTCTATGTTAAAAGATGTATTCTCTGCCACAGATCTGCCATCTGAATCCGGAATCGTTAAACTGTCAACACTTATTTCACAGCAATAACTAATCCTTGATTTTTGGAAGTATTTTGGAAGGTGAGGAAGATTATTCGTGATTTTTTCTCTATAGCCTAAAAATGTAGGATGTGTCAAGGTTAAGATGTGGAATGAGCTACTCTTGATATGCCTAGGCTTACCCTCTTTCTGAATGATCAATGTCATGTTTAATTGTAAAACATTTTAATTGCACTTATTGGTAACTGAATTAGGCTCCAATAATTTATTGTTCAATTTTCTCCCTCACATTCTTAATTCGATAGAAATGGGATAGGTGGCCCTGATGGAGTCTGGGGAGCTCTCTAATGACGTATTGCCTATAATGTGTTAAAAATGGAAAAAGGGGGGATTTTAATATATCCCACTTTCATTTGTTATGTCTCTCAGGCTTGCCAGCTGCAGGTATAGGCTGGAGCTGTATTAGATTGCTCCTGCATGGCATTTCCTTAATTATAAGGGACAGATTATTTATTACACAACACATCCATCCTGTCTGTGACTCTGGGTCTTTACAAGGGATAGGAATTGCTCTGCCAGATTTCCTTCAGTCAACAGATCTGCCTTCAGAGTCCATGTATGAAAGAGGAGTGCACAGCTGTACAGGACTGGGTCTGTGTTTGGTGTGGGCTAGGATGACATATCTTTTGGAAAGTCATGTACACAGCAGGGCCTTCAAAGAAAAGATGGTAGCAAATAATGGTGAGGTCAAGGCTGTTGGTGATGACTAAGAAAGCAGCTTACCGAGACGTCTTCTAATGCATGAGATATGGAGTGGATAGAGATGTCCCCAAGTCCTGAGCCTAGCCCATGAGGCCCATGCAGTAGATCTTCATGTCGCCTGTAATCCCTACGTGGGTCCAGGCCGGACAGCTGGTGTGGTAGCCCCCGATGTGTGTGCAAAAGGCTGGCCTCCTGGCTCTGTCTTTGACCCGGCCACCCCGGGTGCTGAGGCTGGGGCTGTGCATGGAGGGAGTTGAGGCTATAGGGGTCGTTAACGTGGGAGTAGGGGTCTTGTGACTGGGGGTATATAGGCTGGTATGGCGGAGGGAAATAAGGGGGCTGAAAGTCAGTATTGGGGGTGTGGGAAAGTGGGGGAGCGCTGGCGTAGGGGGATTGGCCCACTGAGCCCAACTGAGATAACCGAGCCGTCCCATTGCTGGTACCGTCGTGACGGTCCTAGAAGAGAAAATAGAGGCAAAAATTAAAAAGCATTCCCATAATAAAAAAAATGCACTATTTAACCGATTTCAAGAATCTGCAATCCATAAATAAAACAGTCCCCTTCCACAGGCACACATGCAAATAGGCACATGCACATAATGTTTATCCATTCCAACATAATGGTTTGTTTTGATGTGTGTGACAAAACCTTGTTTCTTGTCTGTTTTGCCAGTATACAGCACCGACCCTTCTATATGGATAGGTTCAAGCTGTAGGTCGCTTCGCCCTCATAATAACGTATTTATAGAACATACATTAGCTCTAATGTCAGGCTGTTCCACACGTTCATGTGGCCAATGTAAAATATATCTACACAAACATTTTTTCCAATCACACACGCCGGATAGATAGGTTAGAGAGAAGTATGCATTACATTAAAGGGCATTCCAGCCAAACATATGTTTAAGTTTAACTCGGAACCGACACATTATAGACGTTTTAAAATATTAAGGACTAATTTGATCACCGAGAAAAACACAGGATGTATTAGATAAAATCGCATATCAGGTAATAACAGTCATAAAAAAATAAAAAATCAGGGAACCAGCCCAATACATATTACGAGTTAAAGCCAAAGCGGAAACGTGGAGCAGTTTTAAGAAGAATGTTACAAATCAAAGAAGAAATAGAAAAAGTATCTCTATAGCAAGCAGAGAAAAAAAGACAGCTAGGTGCTACAAAATAGCCAGCACTAGAAGATTATTACTAGAAAATCATAACGCCCAGGACTGGTAAGAAGCCACAAAACACCATAATCCATCAGAAGTGGAATCAATTCTTCATTTGATGCTGGAAAAAGAAAATCACTGGCTGGCTCAGACGTTAAATACAAAGTTTTTTTTTCTGTGTTTTATGCTGGGCTCCTTAATCCTTGTTGACTCTCGTCTCTCTCTTCTTGACTTGTGTAGCGGTGCTAGGCTTCCCTAGCAATGAGCTGCCTTCCTCCCAGCCCTAATAGCAGATATTCATGACTATTAATATTACACCAATACTTAATAAAGGAAGAATGGTTGGAAATCGAGCGTGAACCGAGCAAAGCAACTCAAGGCAGAGCCCTGTTCTAAATGACGTCCATTGAATGAAGAATCAGTGTATCTAATCAGAGAGGTGGAGGGGGTGGAAAAGAGGGAGAGACACGAGTGAGTGAAGGAGAGAGGGGGTTGGCTGACGAATCACAGGGAAGGGGGAACATTTTAAAGGTTGCAGGGCATGAAAAGTGAAAGAGCTCTAGAGTGTGGGGATCAGCCAGTGACAGGAAAGAAAAGATGAGGGGTGGGGGGGATAAAAAAAAGGAATTGGCACCTGGGAATCCTGGGAATATCCTGGATATGCCATTGGCATTTCTGAGGTTCTCCTCTTGCTGCTGGGAATGGGAAGGCTCTCTGTGCTATCCAGCCCTTTGCTTTTCATGTCTGCATCCGAGGGGCCCGGATCTCCTGTCCTCTGAACCTGATCCATAGCCCGATGGGCTCCAACCACAACAACCACAGCTCCCAAAAGCAGCTTCCTATTCCAACAACTAGCCAATGGAGGCAGGCAGATCCAGGAATCTCTCTTCCCCTCTAATTAAGGTTCAGGGTATTTTCTTTCTGTTTCAGAAAAAGAAAGCTCTCTTTTTTTTGTCCTAGACATCCAGGTCAGTTCTCATTTCCTTGTTGCTGGGCTCTGACAAAGAGGGGCAGTGAGCCTAGCAGCAGATTGGGAGTCAGCAGCAGTAGTGTGCTTGTGGGAGCATGCAGGTCCCGGAAGGGAGCTGGGGAACTTTGTTCTTTTTGTGTAGCTCTGGTTTCCTGTCTTTCATTGGAGATCCAGAGTCCAGATGTTGGCTGCCTGGCCAGAGACCCGACGGCTCCCCTCCCTTTCTCCAGTGCTCAGGGTGCTCCAGCCAGGGATGTCTATGGACAGCTCCTGTCCGGCAAGGCTCGGCCCGGCTCTTCAGCTGCCTCCCTTCCGCCCGATTCCTGGCTCTTTCTTCAAACCCGTCCGACTGGCTCTACAACTCCAGCAAACAACTCCTCCAAAAATATTACATGCTCAACTTTACAGAGCTCTTAGCTGGCTAGGGTTAGAATAACAACAGTCATCTACCGCCTGCATGTTCCTACAGAACTATGCACACCTAACAAAATAAAGCTTTAATCTCACTTTGAAAGCGAGATTACAGGCTCTGGGCTGGAGCTGGGCGAAGTTTGGAGGCTGCTTTTTTGCTCTGTGCTCAGCCACCGTCACATGGGAAGCGTGATACTATCGGCTGGCCACACAATCTGCATTTCCCTTATGCCTAATTATTATTTTTTACCAAATGCGGATATAATCCTTTACATAATGTCATCTGATTTCACTAAAATGTAAATACACATTGTTTGTTA